GCTGCCACCAATTGTCGAGAAGTGTGACACTATGTCGCCTAATCGGAACGGCCTTCCACCTGGCCGTTATTTTCACGATAGGAGCGCCTCCCGTCCGCGATGCATGTCTTGCCATGTTGCTGGAACTCGAACGCCGCGCAACAGCATCCTACTCTACCGTTCCGCGTGTCTTGTGTCTCACACTTGCACATAACAAAGAAGAAGGCGCCCAGCCATCGTCAACGTTTTCCGCAACATGGCGTCATTCACATTCTGCGGAACGCGGGATTCGTGGCGCAGCGTCCTTCGCCTGGCGGGGGCCATTCTCACCCGATGGCTGTGTTGGTCCCCTCATGTCTTGCCAGTTCTGCCGTGACACCAAACACTCGTAACTACCGGAAAGGGTGAATCAAAAGAGCCTTTCCGTGCCGGCATGGAAAGTGACGCAATCGGAGCCCAGCGTCTCGACGAAGCTGGGCCGAGAGCGCCGTTGTCTCGATCAAACTGAAACTCGGCCCCATATTCCAGGGTAAACACCCCCTCCCCTACCAGTGTAGGGTAAAAGCTCGGTTCAATCTGGCATCTAGCCTTTCCCGGACCATGCCTCGCCAGGACAGCCTAGGCAATATGCTCAGTTTGCTTTTGTTCAAGTGCGTCCCATCCAACATGCACCGGAGGGTAATTGGAAAGCGGAGGCCATCCTGAAACTCGAGGGAGCCCGTCGCGTTCACGGGAGTGGTTACCGAAGTCAGATAGCACAAAAATGTCGGCACGGCGACCATTCTGACATTTGCCATTGGAGACGTCCTGTTTCAGCAACGCCGAATTCCGACCCAAGACCAGACGACGGCTGGCAACAGACGATTCGCCAAACGCTTTGGATGAACAGCACCGTGGAGTCATGTTATTGTGGTGCCCTGGCCGGCTCTGTTCCCCTGTCATGTAATCGTTCACATTCTTTGAATATTGGAAAGCCAGAGCCGGCTTTGCTGTTGCCGGACACCCCATCGCGGATGGCACCGGTGAGCGATAGTTTGCTCAACCGAGTTGATTTAACTTTCGACAAAGAGACTCAGAGGGTATACTCGCTTGCTGTTGCCCCCTTGGCGGGCGAGATGATTGTTGGAGGTCGTACAGTAGGGCTTGGGTTGTCTCTCCCGTCACGTCGGATCCCTCTTGTTGAGCAATAACCTCGTACGGCGGTCTGTGTCAGGGCGAAGCGAGGAGGCGCATCTTTGCCGGCTGTTGGCTCCCTTCCACATCGGCATCTGGTGATGCCCAATCCTGCAGGATCTGGTGTGATCCAGACTCTCGGTTGTCACGACAATGTAGGGGCCAGTTGAGATATCTCCCTCCCTAGCTGAAGTCTCGGAGCGGATTCGAGATGAGCAACTTTCTCTTTGGAACCGGGAAATATCGCATCAAACACGACCGACACCACATCGCGACTCGTGCACAATACTCTGCCGCAGGCACTGGCTTCCCTGGTGAACAGATGTCATCCGAAGTCCGGCCTGGGTGTTGATGATCATCGTTTGCTCGACTTTCACAACCGTTGCCAGCGTTTGTTGCCGAGGTGAACGCAAGACAGCCCGCTTTATATTGCTTCTGCCTGTTTTCTGACTGTTTGAGATTACTTTAGGGGGCAACACTGTCGGGTAGGCAGGGTGCTCATGTTGCCGAATGCATGGCCTTGAGACATGTGTGGACAAGAGTTTGCATTCACCAAGCTAGGAGAGAGTCGTTCGATGCAGCAGACGTCACGTTTGTCAGAGGATGTGCGAGCGAAGCTGACTCGACCCGAACCAAGCGAGAGCCTCTCCATGTCAAGTCAAGACTTTGATCGACGTCGGTGGTGACCGTGGCCACCAGCCTGCAGCGGCCACAGAAATCCCAAGTGTTGCTGCGACTAGATCACAGAATGACTGGAACAGCAGGATGTGACGAGGAGGCTTACCAACCTCATCAGGTTCTGCACGCTGCCGATGACCTTTGGTGGGTGATCTGTGACGACCAGCCAACTGTCTTCGTTTGCCAGCCAACCTTGCCGGCTGACTCGTCCTACGGTGTGGCGCCTTTGTTCTCGCGAGCCCGAAGAAACAACAGGTGCACCAACGAGGGTCTCTACAGTATTGAAATGCCTTGTGTCTCCGCCCTCGACGAAGAGGCTTCCAATTACGGGCGCTCGTGCCCGCAATCAGCAAATACTGGAAAGTGACGATGATGGATTCCTCTGGCGCCGCAAGATACCCAATTCCCTGGGGTTGGTGACAGGTCCTGGGTTGGCAGTACTAGTATAGGTATGTTACTATCGTCAATTCGCGTCCTAGAACCTGCCACGGTTTGTGATGGATGGAGGATGCTCGCTTCCGCTGTCACATCTCGACGACCGATCACCTCCGGGTGCGTGCTCCGCGTTTTGGCGGCCATCATGGAGCGTGCAGTATCTGGCTGACTCGGCACATGGCGCACCATGTCGGGAGGTAAGCTCTGGGTTGTTAGCACCAAATCAAAGGCGAGCGATGTATAGTATCAAAGCACTCTCAAGACTACCTTCTCCCACCAACTCAATGGCGGGCTACTGCCATGACGGTGTGGTTGCGACAATGTCGATGTGAATTGTCACAGTTTCGCTGCCGCCGCGTCCCGCGCGATTGGGAGCTTGTCGTGGCAGAGCTTCCTTGTGTGGTGGGGGCAGGCAATGCGAGGCTTTGAAGTAGATCACTAACAAGCGGGCACGTTTGCTGCGCAGAGTGCGCAGAGGGCTTTTGGCGGTGGAAGGTCCCGACAAGTAGCGTCACTGCAGGTTTTCTGTGACGAGGTCGCAAAATATGACCCAGAAGTACCTGGTCGCCCAATCGTGGTGGTGCGAAAGAGGGGTTGGGAGGGGCAGCGCGGGGCAGCAACTGTTAGCAGGCGACTTGATCGTCATAGAGTCTTGGCGGCAACCTATGTCGTGCCTGGACGAGGGGTCGAGGGGAGCTTGCTTCGGGGCGGCAGCTGGAGCTGGCGAGGCAGGAGACGGGACAGCGGACAGGGCTGTCGCATGTCGTCAGGACAGGCACCACACACGGGGGCACGCCCAGTGGAAGCACAAAGATCTTCCCGAGCGTTCCCAGATCCGCCGCGGTCCCTAAATACCCTGCCTGCCGCCCCTTCCCTTCGTCTTCCGACTGGCCTTGTCTGAAATCTTCCACCTCCTCACAAACCACCACAAAAACCAACCCAATTGACCATCACAGGCATGCCACGACCCCCCTCCGCCCTTCTGGCCTCGGTTGCCCGGCTGCGGGGTCCGAGGCTGCAATTCCCTCCTGCTGACCGCAGAACCTTCCAGACATCAGCATCCAAGATGGGCGTCAACGTTATCACCCACCAGCCCGGCACTGGCGCCACCCCCACCAAGGGCCAGACTGTCACCATCGAGTACACCGGCTTCCTGAAGGACACTTCGCAGCCCGACAACAAGGGCAAGAAGTACGTTCCCGCGTCCCATCTTCTCAATTGCACCACCCCACTTGCGCCTGAGTGCGCTTTGCGAAACATTGCTTGCTGACCGGGTCTCCTCTCTCTTTTCCAGGTTCGACTCTTCCGTCGGCCGCGGCGACTTCGTCGTCAAGATCGGTGTCGGTCAAGTCATTCGCGGTTGGGACGAGGGTGTCACCCAGATGAAGGTCGGCGAGAAGGCCACCCTCGACATCTCCAGTGACTTTGGCTACGGTGCCCGGTAAGCCTTCCCCTGCTTCTGTTGCAAGCCCCTTGCCTCCGCTTTCAGTTACAGTTCGACTGACGCGTTCATCTCAGCGGCTTCACCGGCCACATCCCCCCCAACGCCGACCTCATCTTGTAAGTTTGCCATCCTGTGTTACATGTCCGCTTTGTGCGGCGGTAGTGGAACGAGGCTAACTGGTGGTCCACAGCGATGTCGAGCTGAAGAAGGTCCAGTAAATCAGACGGGGACATGGTGCGCGGACGGTTACACGGATTCGTTATCGGCTGGTCTAGAAACCGCACGATGCGCGTGATATCTTAGTAGTGTGCCAATACCACTGATTGAATCAAAAAGGCCTACCTCGGATCTGTGATGACTTTCGGTGATGTTCAGATGTCGGTCGCTCTGGATGCCGCAGAGCCCGGGACTGTTGTTACGTTGACCATGTTAGTAACTGGGCCAGTGTAGTCGCGGCTATGACGAAACGTGAGTTGAAAGGTAAGAAAGCACATGGCAGAAGTCATCGCACGTTGAATGCATCCAGGTGCATCATCTCAATCTATTTATCAGCGTGTCTATGACGGCCGTCGGATTATGTTCTCCGATGTGTTTCAACCGGATAATTCCCAGCCTCTGCCTTTAGCGTTACCAGCTTCGAATGATTATATTCTATACCCGCGAGTCGATCATATCTTCGCCACTGAGGACTTGAAAAATCTCTTTTCAAGTGTGGCATGAACACTCGCACGTACCACTACGATCCCATCGTCCAAGTGAAGTGCGTCATACGGAGTGCTCGCCGCTCAGCTCCCCGGGCTGGACAGCTTGACCGTAACAAAAATAAGTAGATGTGTACCGCAGCATTCCGGCCAGGAAAAACAATGAATTTATACGAAATGCAGGTTGCTCGGCTTTTCTTACCGCTTTCGTGACGATCAACGATCGTACACTAGTCTATCCCCAAGCATCATTGTGATATTAGATGGCAGACGCACCCTACGCACGGCAAATGCATGCTTAAGCATATCGGGATGCCAAAGCCCCGATTTAAAATCACAAACCATGTCATGTGCAACTTTATACAGCGTCTCGATTGCTGCGGAAGATATCGAAGTACTCTTTCCATCATCATCGAGACATCCTGCTGGCCGTGGACTGTGATCGTCAGACAGGCCTGACGCAACCGACCCACTAATATGTGGCGCCAACTGTCGAACGAGGCTCAGCAGTCTCCATGGGTTCCGCTTACATAGGTCGGTACCCAGGTAGGTAAGGTAGGTAGGTAGCAACAGGCATCTGGTGCCTTCCGCCCCACTGGCAGTCCCGGGACTCGCTGCCTGCTTAGAAACCTAGCCAACAGCTACGTCGGTTCTCCTCAATCCCCCGCCTGTCGTTGCCCCTCCACCAATACCGCCATCTTGTCAGCCCTGTCATACTGCTGAGAACCTCACCTCCAATTCATCTCGGCTCGTTACCCTTCCTTCTCAGATTCTGCCCGGCGCAATCTATATACGACGACTCTGCCTTGAATAAGCGATTCACGACTTCTGCACAGCAACGTCGCCCACGAAACCTCTCCCTGCCACGCAAGTAGTGGGGTTTGAGCTGTCCCATCCGTTTCCAACTGGGCTCCCATCCCTCACGCCATAACGTCAATCCCAAACAATCCCCTCTCCCCATCTACCATCGCCAAGCTGGGGAAGCGCAAACTCTCCAGCGGGGAGTCTCCAACCCACAAGAAAACCATGGCTGTACGTCAATCACGCTCGTATACTCAATTGTCTGGTCCTGTTGGGATTGCCGACCACCAGTGATCCCATCATGTGCTGACCTGCGTTGCTTCCAGGACCAGAAGCTTCCCGAGGTTGACCTCGTCACCAGAATGCAGGTTGACTCTGCTGTAGTCGGCAACACCGAGATCGACGAGTCTCTGTACAGCCGACAGCTCTACGTGCTAGGCCATGAGGCTATGAAGCGCATGGGCGCCTCCAACGTCCTCATCATCGGTCTCAAGGGCCTGGGTGTCGAGATCGCCAAGAACATCGCGCTGGCTGGTGTAAAGAGTCTGAGCCTTTACGATCCCGGCCAGGTTGCCCTTCCCGACCTATCCTCCCAGTTCTTCCTCCGCCCGGATGACGTCGGCAAGCCCAGAGATGAGGTCACCGCTCCTCGTGTCGCTGAGCTCAACGTCTATACGCCTGTCCACATCCACAAGTCAGAGGGGCTGGCGGAAAACCTCTCTCAATACGACAAGTACCAGGTTGTTGTCCTGACGAGCCTGCCCTTGAAGCTCCAGGGCATTATTGGTGATTACTGCCACACCAAGGGAATCTACGTGGTTGCCGCCGACACATTTGGTCTTTTTGGCTCCATCTTCTGCGATTTTGGCGAAAAGTTCACCGTCATTGACCCAACTGGCGAGACCCCCCTTTCCGGCATTATCGCTGGTATTGACGAGGAGGGCCTTGTATCTGCGCTCGACGAGACACGTCACGGCCTCGAAGACGGTGACTATGTGACTTTCACGGAGGTGGAGGGCATGGAGGGCTTGAACGGCTGCGCGCCCCGCAAGATCACTGTCAAAGGACCATACACCTTCTCCATCGGCGATGTCACAGGCCTGGGCCAGTACAGGCGGGGAGGCCTTTACCAGCAGGTCAAGATGCCCAAGATCATCGACTTCAAAAGCTTCACTCCTGCTCTGGCGGACCCAGAGTTTGTTGTCTCCGACTTCGCCAAGTTCGACCGTCCGCAGCAACTGCATCTCGCATTCCAGGCCCTGCATGCCTTTGCCGAAAGCCAGGGCCGTTTCCCCCGGCCCATGGATGACGAGGATGCCACTGTGATCCTCCGCTCCGCCGAGGCATTTGCCAAGGCCCAGGGCCTTGAGGTACAATTCGACGAGAAGGTGATCAAGGAGCTCAGCTACCAGGCACTGGGTGATCTGAACCCCATGGCTGCCTTCTTTGGTGGCATCGCTGCGCAGGAAATCCTGAAGGCTGTGTCCGGAAAGTTCCAACCCGTCAGCCAGTGGATGTACTTTGACTCTCTCGAGTCGCTTCCCTCCAACTCTGCTCGTTCGGCCGAGCTCTGCAAGCCCCTCGGTTCGAGATATGACGGCCAAGTCGTTGTGTTCGGCAGGGAGTACCAGGAGAAGCTGTCGAATATAAAGCAGTTCCTTGTTGGCGCCGGTGCCATTGGTTGCGAGATGTTGAAGAACTGGGCTATGATTGGCCTCGGAACTGGTCCCAAGGGTAAGATCATTGTCACAGACATGGATTCAATCGAAAAGAGCAACCTCAACCGCCAATTCCTCTTCCGTGCGCCTGATGTAGGCAAAATGAAGAGCGACTGTGCCGCGGCTGCTGCTCAGGCCATGAACCCGGACCTCGCTGGACACATCCAGTCGCTCAAGGACCGTGTTAGCCCCGAGACGGAGGAGACGTTTAACGAAACCTTCTGGCAGAACCTCGATGGCGTGACAAACGCTCTGGACAACGTGGAGGCCAGGACGTACGTCGACCGTCGCTGCGTCTTCTTCCGCAAGCCTCTCCTTGAGAGCGGTACTCTGGGTACCAAGGGCAACACCCAAGTGGTTCTACCTCACCTGACAGAGTCGTACTCGTCCTCACAGGACCCCCCTGAGAAGGAGTTCCCCATGTGCACGGTGCGCAGTTTCCCCAACAAGATCGACCACACAATTGCATGGGCCAAGGAGTACATGTTCGAGAACCTCTTCATCGCTTCCCCATCGACAGTCAACCTGTATCTCACCCAGCCGGGCTACATCGACAGCATGCTCAAGCAGGGTGGTAACCAGAAGATGACCCTGGAGACTCTGCGTGACTACCTGACTACCGACCGTCCCCGCACCTTCGAGGACTGCATTGCGTGGGCCCGCCTACTGTTTGAGCGGGAGTTCAACAACAAGATTCAGCAGCTTCTTTACAACTTTCCTAAGGACTCGGAGACGTCAAGCGGCACCCCATTCTGGTCTGGGCCGAAGCGTGCGCCTGACGCGCTCAAGTTTGATGCCAGTGACCCCATGCACTTTGGCTTCATCGTGTCAGCGGCCAACCTGCACGCGTTCAACTACAACATCAAGTCTCCCGGCCTCGACAAGGACATCTACCTGCGCGAGCTGGAGAATGTGATCGTGCCTGACTTTGCCCCTGCCGAAGGGGTCAAGATCCAAGCCAACGACGCTGATGCGGATCCCAATGCTGAGGCAGCCGGCAGCTCTTTCGACGACAATGACGAGCTGCAGCAAATCATTTCGGGCCTGCCGTCGCCCAGCGAGCTTGCAGGGTTCCAGCTGACGCCCGTGGAGTTTGAAAAGGATGATGATACGAACCATCACATTGACTTTATCACGGCGTGCAGCAACCTGCGTGCGGCCAACTACAAGATTGAGCAGGCAGACCGTCACAAGACCAAGTTTATCGCGGGCAAGATCATCCCAGCAATCGCGACGACGACGGCACTCGTCACAGGCCTCGTGGTGCTGGAGCTCTACAAGGTGCTCGACGGCAAGACGGACCTGGAGCAGTACAAGAACGGCTTCATCAACCTGGCGTTGCCCTTCTTCGGCTTCAGCGAACCGATTGCGAGCCCCAAGGTCGAGTACAAGGGTCCCGACGGAAAGGTGACGCTCGACAAGATCTGGGACCGGTTCGAGGTGGCCGACATTACGTTGAAGGAGCTCCTGGAACACTTTGAGAAGCAAGGCCTCAGCATCTCCATGCTGAGCTCGGGCGTCAGCCTGCTGTACGCGAGCTTCTTCCCTCCGGCGAAGCTCAAGGAGCGCCACCCGCTCAAGCTTAGCCAGCTCGTAGAGCTCATCTCGAAAAAGCCGATTCCTGCGCATCAGAAGGAGATCATTTTCGAGATTGTGGCGGAGGATCTGGACGAGGAGGACGTTGAGGTTCCCTACATCAAGATGCGGAGGGATTAAGACAGACACACAGGAGGGATGGATTGCGCTGAGGTTCACGGTATAAGACTGCCGGGTCGTCATTCAACGGAAACAGCAAGTACAGACATACACATGCACAACAAGAAAGTGAGAGAATGAGGCTCGATAGAACGCTTAGGAAGACAAACAAACATGATTTTCTTTTTTCAGTCTCACGGTCATGAGGCCATAAACTATGAAACCAAGTGAAGCATCCAGAGGCTTGTATGGCGCTACTGTTTGCATCATCCAGTGAGCCAAATCCATGCACTAAGCCGACTGGTGAGTCGACTGGTGAGGTGGGCGGATGGTGGAGCCCGTGGTGGTTGTGCTGGAGCTTGGGGCCGGGACTACCTTAATTTACCTTAGGTAGGTAGGTAGGTTGGTATGTTTACGTCACCATTAGTAGGTACTCCAGCTCGATGCGGCCAAAGAGGGGCAAAGGGGCCTCTTAATAAGCGCCTTCTAGGGAAGTCCGCCGTGCTGAGACGTCCATCGCATAAGGATGACTGAGCTGTTAGCGCATGCCGCCCGAGAAGGCACTTACCAGCCAGTGGGGATGTTTGTGCCTGCCCGACTGTGAGTTGCTGTTGCCATTGCAAGTACCTACGGAGCAGACCATTAGAAAGAAGTATGATCGCGTGAGCGAGTGAGAAGGGCAGGTTTATAAGCCAACGGAACCACCAATCCCTCTCCTCAATTGCACCTACATTATCGCCCTGCTGCATATATAGCACCTGATGAAGACGCACATTCTGGCTCGATCTGTCAGGCCCACCCTTCTTCATCTGAAGCAGAGCACCAAAAGCGTTGCTCTACTGCATTTCTCTACTCGCTCCCCAGCCACCACCACCAGCATTACTCCACGATATTCAAGCACCATCCCGAACGCTCACCAGCAGACCAGAACCATGGTGTGTTGACCCTCCTTCACGGAGCAAACCTCCCGCCATACGCGTCGGCGCTAACACGCCTGTCAAGTCCTCCACCTCCTCTGCCCCCGCCAAAGGAGGCATCACGAGCTGGGTCAAGCCCGGCGACACCTCGGGTGAGTTCAAGCGCCAGGTCTCGTCCTTCCGCTCCTGGATCTCCCGCGACGCCGGCGCCGAGTTCCCTCCCGAAAAGGGCCGCTACCACATCTACGCCTCGTACGCCTGCCCCTGGGCCCACCGCACCCTCATCACGCGCCGCCTCAAGGGTCTCGACGACGTGATCAGCTTCAGCGTTGTGCACTGGCACCTCGGCGAAAAGGGCTGGCGCTTTGTCGAAAAGGGCGAGGACGTCCCCGGCGACAATGTCGTACCCGACCCCGTCGACGGCCACGGCGCCTTCACCCACCTCCGGGACCTGTACTTTGAGAGCGAGAAGGACTACCAGGGCCGCTTCACCGTGCCTGTGCTGTACGACAAGAAGACCAAGCGCATCGTGAGCAAAGAGAGCAGTGAGATATCCTGCATACTCTCCACGGAGGGGAGACCCTTTCACAGTCTCCCCGAGCCTGGCGTGTTACATAGGAGAAAAAAGCGCGAAAAAGTCGGTGCACAACCCACTTTTTCACGCTCATCGAGGAGAAATGTAGCACCTTTTCACCCTCTCCAGAGCACCTCCCCACGGAGATCGACGAGACCGACGAAGGACCTACGACAAAATCAACAATTCGTCCTACATCCTCTTCGCCACGACGCAGGATGCCTACGAGCGCAATGTCGTTCCCTCTTTGAGGCCCTCGATCGCGCCGAAGCTCACCTCGCTGCCAAGAAGGAGGGGGATGGCCCCTACTGGTTAGGCAACGAGTTGACTGAAGTCGACATTCGTCTCTTCGTGACCCTTATCCGCTTCGACGTGAGTTTCCCTCCCTTCATAAGACTGCCAGCCTTGCTCTGTTCGCTACCCAATTTGTGAATGGGGGGAAAAGGAGTTCTCGAGACAGCAGAACAGAGAATAGTGGTTGTCTCCTGAAAAAGAAAAGAAGCAAGCTAACGTGCTCTAGCCTGTCTACGTCCAGCACTTCAAGTGCAACATTCGCGACATCCGCTCCGGCTACCCCCGGCTCCACGCCTGGATGCGCAACCTCTACTGGAATGAGCCTGCCTTCAAGGACACGACCCAGTTCGAGCACATCAAGTGGCACTACACCAAAAGCCACACCCAGATCAACCCCTACTCCATCACGCCTGTCGGTCCCCTGCCGGATGTGCTGCCGCTGGATGATGAGGTACCCGCTGCGAAGAAGCAGTAGGTAGGTTCGAGGAAGGCGATGCACCGCGGCGAGGCCAGAGACAAGATGGTAAGGATGAAATTTCACCACACGTAATCGATGGCACTAGCTCAAATGGTCCGTCCATATTGTGCCGCCGTATGTAACATGCCCAGAATTCAAAAACTCGATAGCCAAAGGGACCTTGTGCAAGTGAGAAAAACGCGCAATTCAATTCGATCAATCCCCGATGGATGCAAGGTCCAGTCAAAAGAGTTTAAAAACACATGTATAATTCCATTTTCCTTACACCATCCCAGCCAAGTACGGCGCGCTCTGAAAGGGGTTCGGGGAAACAACGTAAGAAAAAATAACCCCCAGATGGAACAAGACGGAAAAAGACGACCCAATGAGCTCGGATTGGAACACCTCCCTATCGCAGCCGTTCCAGCAGTCGATCTGGCAGACGTCGATACGCCGCCTCCCGCTTAATTAAATGGTGGAAGGTCCCAGGCCGCCCCAGTATATATAGAAACGATTTCTTGTTTTCATCCTTGTCACGCGAGCACACACAATCTCGGAATGCGTAAATGACGGGTTTCAAAACCGGCCGTGACTGCATTACCGTCAAGTACAGGAGAGTCGTTGCAATGCTGCGCTCTACAACTGCCCGGAAAGAGGGCCTCAGTAGCTGTGAAAATGGTTAGTAGTTGCTCGTACGTCCGTCGGGAGAGAAGACAACATACCACTGTTGATGTAGGCACCGCTTCGCGTCAAGCGGCACACCGAACCGACGCTCCAACTCCTGCTTGATACCCTTCTTGGTGACAGTCATGAGGTCGGCCGTGCGCAGAATCTCACGAATCTCTGCCAGGAGTGCGTCGTCGCTCGGCAGGCCCAACCATGTCCTCCGGCGAGAAGTACTGTGATCCACCAAACTGGCTGGCGCGGTTGCCACCCATCTCCGACGCCGCGAGTGACATGCGCGACGTGTTCATGGGCAGTGGCGGCATGGCGTGCGCGCCGCTGAAGCCGCCAGCAATGGACCCAGGCCTGCTGTAGCCGCCGTACTCGGAGACGCCAACCTGAACGCCGGGGTGGCCCTTGGTGGCGTAGCTGTAGCCGGAAACCTCAGAACGCGCGTCGTCGCGAACGGTCTGAGCCTCCCAGATCTCGCCCTGATACTCCTCCCACTTCTTGCGGGGAATCGAGGCCGGGTCAAATTTGCCCTCGTCCGTGACGATGATCTT